ACCGTAAATATATCAAAACTTGTTAGTAATATGCATTGCTAAGAACTTAATTTGGAAACTTTAAAGGCGATTTTCTCAATATTTAGATTTTTTTGCACCCTCAGATTCCAGATTTTCAAATAGTTGTATCTCAGCCAAATATTGTCCGATCCTAACAAACCATACATCAATGGAAGCTTATTTGTTCAGCTTTCAGATGATGCATCTGATGAAATCTCAATTTCAAAAAGGCTTATATAATCGTCGCAGAATAAGCCTTAAAAGGTTATCAGAGGTGCAACAGCATGTTCAGGTATGTTTTCGATACAGAGTGCAAATGGCTGTGCATTTATTTGTGTTTTTAACTCGATGGGAGCGAAATGAAACTGTCTGAACCCGAAGCTGTGTGTTGTCGGTCTCCCCTCTTCCACCTCCGCTCGCTGCGCACCACGCCCACTTTTTTTAAAACTGTGGAGAGAACTAACCAGTGCTGAAACAGAGTTTCATGACTAGTGGTCGACCGATATCTGCCATTTTTCAAATATCGGCATCGGCCGATAAGTTTTTTCTGTTTGGCCGATGTGTTCGAGGCGGGACTTTTATTTTGACAGCTCCGAGAACGACAGCGCCTGAACACACCGTGCTCACATTCTCCTTCTTGTTCGCTGTTGTCATTCAGTTCTGTCTAATACGGATAGAAGTCTATCTAATAATCAGCTAGAACGGTTAAACAAAGGAATGATAATTTATACAAAAAAGTATTATAACGATTGCTTCAATATTATTAAAGGCAAACATTATAATACTTTCTCGTTTGCCGTCAGCATTCCGCAAATACGCATTTATATAATTTAAACAAATCTTTGAATGACTAATAAACATTTAATTTCACAAACCTTGCAGACTTAGTCGAATCTAGTTGAGATCTTGTGAAGTGTGCATGTGATCTGCATGATCGTGTGTTCTGTGGCGGTCGGTCCGTGTGAATTGAATACGGACAGGAGGAGATTTCACCTTCACTGGAGACGCGCGATCGACAAACTTTAAACTTGTGACTGATTTCAAATTATGCTGTGCTTTATGCATTTGCCCGCTGCCATATTCATGTCATTTTCACTGTGCTGTGTGTAAAATGAGTGTTACTTTGGCTTTATTTGAAAAAAAAAATAAGATTCCCAATGCACACAAACTTCCCAGAATACTGAGTGCCCTGTTGGTTACGGTGTTTACTTCTTTTTTAATTATATTTTTTATTAAATATTTATTTGTGAAAAATACTTTGTCTTCTAAAGTATGTTTATTTTACACGTTTATTTTTTTAATCCATTTTGAAATGATTGAAAATTTCTTAGAATTAAAATAAATTAAATTATATCGGCCACCCTGCTTTCCAAGATATCGGCATCGGTATTCAAAAAACCCATATCGGTCGACCACTATTCATGACCCTTTAATGCTGGTGTTACAGCTGTTAACTTTATGAAATGATATGTAGCACTGGCTTCTTTTTTAATTATATTTTTTATTAAATATTTATTTGTGAAAAATACTTTGTCTTCTAAAGTATGTTTATTTTACACGTTTATTTTTTTAATCCATTTTGAAATGATTGAAAATTTCTTAGAATTAAAATAAATTAAATTATATCGGCCACCCTGCTTTCCAAGATATCGGCATCGGTATTCAAAAAACCCATATCGGTCGACCACTATTCATGACCCTTTAATGCTGGTGTTACAGCTGTTAACTTTATGAAATGATATGTAGCACTGGCGCTCTCCAGATGCGGAGAAACTCCGCCTTTGTTCATAACCACTCCTCTAGCCCCAGCTGGCCCGCTTTGGCCCATGGTTTTTGTCGGGCCAAAAAAACCCTGGCCATTGGCCCCGAGGAAGCACTGCCGAGGCACGATCAAACCCCGGAAGTGACAGTGGAAACACGACTGGCCCTGGCACGCACTAGCACGCCCGCTTTTAACCCGACAGTGGAAATGCGGCTATTGAGTCATTAATTCAACTGATTCGTTCAAAATGCGGAATTATTCAGTAACAAAACACCGCCGAGTGTTGCTTGTAGAATGTTTAATACTTCTGCTGTGGTCTTTGTTTGGAACTATTTTCATTGTAGAAATAGAACAAAAACACTAAAATGTAAGTAACTTAACTACCGGACTACTTGTTTATTGAAATAAAATCAATGTGACATTTGCAATCGTGAAAATATTCAGCAAAATTGCTCCCTTGTCAAGGTGTTACTTAACTATATCATGTTATGATGATAAACTAAACATTTTGAATGTTTTCCTCAGTGTGTTTCTTCTGAGCTTCGTTCTGTGTGCTGTTACGCTCATTTGTTTTGAAGTCTCACACAAAGAGACAAACAGAGTGAGCCTCAACAGCGCAACCTTGATACCAGAAATACATTATCAATCGCTGTTTATGCTAAATGTAATAAAATCAGAAGAATCATTATCGTGTTGCGATGCGTGGCTGGTTATTTTTTTGTCACTTAAATTTTAGTCAGGCCATTTGTCTGGTCGGGTAAGTAAAAAAACTAAACATTTTAAACTAGCTAGAAGGCTGGTCAGCTGTAGCTCGACCTACATTATTATTATTATTATTGAGAACATTATATAAAAGATATTTTATCGGTAATGTGACCAAAAATATTTAAGCCCTATTGACTCGGAATTTAAGATATTTTTAGACTTTTTAAGGACCCGCAGACACCCTGCTATAGAAATATTGAAATGTCTACTATTAAACTAACCAATTCAAATAAAAAAACATCTCTAAATATGTAGTCCGTATGCAAAGGTGCATTTCTCTATTAAAGGCAAGTCCATTAGCCTACTGTGGAGATGGCCAGGCAGCGTCGGCATTTGGCAACTTCATCTTTGCAGCCGACTGAGAAAGCACTAGTTTAGTAGGCCTAATAAATAATTACAAGGTCTTCTTTGTCCCCCGACGCATTCATAATCAATACTTTTGCCAGTGCTTTGCTGCAAGCTTTATGTGCGCCCTTGAGCATGGAATAGGCTATGCCTAAATGCCTATATATTAAAGGATGGTTTAGTAGGTTATTATATTAATCAATTTAATATAAAGGTGCAACTAGTTCACTAGGAAAAAGTATTTTAAAAAGACAGTAGCAAAAACAAAAATATTACCAGCACTAGAGTTGGGTATAACGCGTTACACAGTAACATTATATGTGTGCTCAGACGGAAAGACTGTACCTCGCATTGGTTTTATCCGGATTATTTTAATAAGCAAATATTTGTTTCCGACATGATTTACTTCATTTAAAAATAGACACTTCAAGCTTTCTTTAGATATACTGTAGGCCTATTTCTCATGTCATTTTAGGAAGATATTCACGGAGACCGAGAATGCAGAAAGCATTTGTTTTACAAAATCACAAAAAAGAAAAAGTTTTGTCAATATTGGGAGTGTATACAAATAATACTTACGTATTTTTTCAGTCAATATTACATTTATGAAAGAACTACGAGTTTCTCTTTGTAGTGTATTTTTTTAGGATTGATAACTTGAAAAGTAAACGTGAAAGTAAAGCAAAAGTAATCCGATTACTTTTTAAACGCTGTAATCAGTAATGTAATCTTAAAGTAGTACTTAGTCATTTGTAGTGGATTACTTATTTTGAGTAACTTACCCAACACTGACCAGCACAAACGAACGAGACTATTTGGGGTAAATCTGGAGCATGTGGGGGGCTGAGTGACCTCAGAACGATCACTAAATATTATTTTAACATCTAAGAAACCGAAGCAGCACAATGTAAATATTACAGGCACAAACGAAGCACCCCTACACTACAGTGATGAATCTTCCTGTCCTTATTATATCTACCTTTATTTGATGGCAAGCCAAAGTAGCAGCTGATGCATTACACATTAATGCAGATGTGTTATATGTTGACACAGCTACATCACAGAAGTAATAGCTGGACTACACACGAGTCCTTTAAGACTGAGGATCACACACTACTAGACTTTAGAGTCAATCCAATCATAACAAACTCATGCCAACATTTTAATAAGAATCAAACGCATTGAGAATGAAAACCAACCTGTTAGTTCCTCGAAATCTTCTGGTTTGAGACTGAACACTTCTTCAATCCTGAAGTCTTCAGTCTCCTCTTTAATAACCGCCATGTTTCTGTGTGTTTGGACACTCTGTCATGATTAAGAAGAGAATAATTAACCGATAGACAAACAAATCGCTCAAAACAAGCATTTCAAACCAAAGAACACACATTATAGAGAGTTTATATTTACTTAAGCGTTATATTTCTTTTGTTTTGATTCCACGTGTGTGTTGTTCACCGTTTTGACCAGCGCCGATTCGAAATAGAATCATTTTGCTACAAAATAGACTTTAAAGAGCTCAGTTTCTCCATCACTAAGCTACTAGCTAGGGAGCGAATTCGTGTTTACACTAAAGTGATTCAGGACACAGAGTTAAATAAGACGCAACTTTCCCGTTACTCGTGTGCAGATGCGCTTAACTTACACAAAGCAATGTTTTTTTTATGTTAGGTAAAGTATTACGACGTTAAATTAAACAATAGTTTTCTATAAAATAAACTGGTTGTATTTAAACACGTCAGATGATTAAAAACACAAACCTCTCTTCAGCCGAATCACAGACGCAAGAAGCGCGGCGCAGCCGTATGACGTCATGGCGTCAAACCAAAATAAAAGTCTTGCCTACACGATTATAGAAATTCACCAAAAAAAAAAAAATTATTATTCATAGTACCAACTGCACAGCATTTGTGATCTAGTTTAAATCCATAATGAAGTTTGCATTGTCTTCAATTTAAAGAAAAGCACTTACAGAGTTATCTATTTTATTTATTTAAAACTGAATCCCTGAATATTTAGATTGGGTGGCGTCTGGTTATTTGTTAATCTAGCCACTGTGCTAAATAAAAACCTTGGATTGTTTTGGTTATTTTCTATGAGTTTGTGGACTTCGACTTTGAACTTCAAAGTTAAGTCAACGTCTGCTGTCAAATTAACTCAAATATGTATCAATAAATATTTTTTGTTGTTTGAGGTTTTTCTGTCATTTATTGTCATTATTGTTCATTGACATTACCATAATGTCTTTTGAGGTGAGGGGGTTGAATATTTCTGATCACAACTGTATATCCATAGAATGGCAATCAAAATATAAAACAACAACAAATAATATTATGCTCTGGGATGTAAAAATATGTTCATATTCATTCTTGTTTATCTTTTCACCCTGGCTATTGCAACATTTTTTTCTTTTTGCAAGGCTTAAGCTGGTCCCAAACTTGGGGTGTGTAACAACTAGTGAAAACCCATTTTAAATGTAATGAGTAATAACATCACAAAAAACACAAATAGGGTCTCACATTTGTTAAATTGTCTTCCTTGAGAACGAATGCACAACTGATTACTGAAATTGTTTTTTTTGGTAAACCTTTTGCCACACTGAGCAGCACTCAACATTTCAGGTATCTTTGATATATGCAACTTGTCACTCCAAAGACATGTGAAATACCTTTCTTCAGTGTGAAGTCTCATGTGAATGTTCAAGTTTCCTTTAAGGCTGAAACTCTTATCTCCACTCTTTATCTCCAGTGTGAACCTCAAGATTTGCTTTGTTTCTGCAAGTCTCTCCACAGTGATATCCCATGTAAGACCTCTCCCAGATGAGAGTTATTACATGACTCCAAAGTCTTTCCCGTATGTGAAACTCCTACCACTTTGATGACATTCTCTCTGGAATGAATCCTCAAGGATTGAGCTTAAGGGTTGTTTATCTGAAACTCCACACTGATCACATGTAAATTGCTTCTTTCTGTTGTGAGTTCTCATGAGCCAGATATGGATTCATTTTTCAAAGTAAACTTTTGCCGAAACTTCCACACTGTTGGCAGGTAAAAGGTCTCTCCAGTATGAATTCTCATCTGAATTTAAGGTTTCTATGTTGACTGAAACTCTTTCTCTCTGGTGTGCATTCTCATGTGCCTGTTAAGGATCTCTTTTTGATTGAAACTCTTTCCACACTTTTGGCAGGTAAAAGGCTTCTCTCCAGTGTGAATTTTTGTGTGCCTATTGAGAATCCCTTTTTGAGTGAAACTTACTCCACACTGTTGGCAGGTGAAAGGGTTTTCTCCAACGTGAATTCTCATGTGTTCTTCAAGCTTTTCATTTTGATCGAAACTCTTTCCACACTGATGGCATGTATAAAGCTTTTTTCTAGTGTGAATTTTTATGTGCTTATTGAGAACTACTTTTTGAGTGAAACTTACTCCACACTGTTGGCATGAGTAAGGTTTCTCTCCAGTGTGAATTCTCATGTGGACTTTAAGATTTCCATGTTGATCAAAACTCTTTCCACACTGAGGGCACGAGTAAGGTTTCTCTCCGGTGTGAATTCTCATGTGGACTTTAAGATTTCCATGTTGATCAAAACTCTTTCCACACTGAGGGCATGAGTAAGGTTTCTCTCCAGTGTGAATTCTCATGTGCGTGTTAAGGCTTCCTTTTTGAGTGAAACTTACTCCACACTGTTGGCAGGTGAAAGGGTTTTCTCCAACGTGAATTGTCATGTGTTCTTCAAGCTTTTCATTTTGATCGAAACTCTTTCCACACTGATGGCATGTATAAAGCTTTTTTCTAGTGTGAATTTTTATGTGCTTATTGAGAACTACTTTTTGAGTGAAACTTATTCCACACTGTTGGCAGGTGAAAGGTTTCTCTCCAGTGTGAATTCTCATGTGGACTTTAAGATTTCCATGTTGATCAAAACTCTTTCCACACTGAGGGCATGAGTAAGGCTTCTCTCCAGTGTGAATTCTCATGTGCGTGTTAAGGCTTCCTTTTTGAGTAAAACGTACTCCACACTGCTGGCAGGTGAAGGGCCTTTCTCCAGTGTGAACTCTCAAGTGCTGACTAAGGTTTAATTTTAGGTTGAAACGTTTTCCACACTGTTGGCAAGTATAAGGCTTCTCTCCTTTGTGAATTTTCATGTGGGCTTTAAGGTTTCCATGTTGAGTGAAAAGCTTTCCACACTGAAAGCAGGTTAAACAACTTCCAGTCCCTATTGCTTTTTTAACTCTTTTTCGTGAGGAAGTCTTTTTAGTCTGCGAGCAATTAAAAGATTTTTCTTCAGTTGTGAAATCGTGATGGTTCTCATACTGATCTTTCTCTTCCATTTCATTCAGCACTTCATTCTCTTTAACTGACGTCAGGTCTAAAGCTAAAAAACAAAACAAAAAAAAACAAACATGTAAAACATTAAAACCAACAACATGTTTTGTATAACCTCATATGCACTTAGCTACTGAAAGTGGTGCTGCATGTAATCTCAGAACATCTTTTAAATTTTCTTTCAAAATTTTTTATTTTTTTTTTAACTGATCGGTATTGGCTAGCCTAAGCTCGATCCTTTATTTTATGCCAGATGTCACACAAGTGTCATGCAGTAGGTGGCGGTATGCACCTCCAAGTAGGTTTGTCAATGACCATTAAAAGGAAAACAAGACACTAAAGGACTAGTTAGGTCTATTCTAGCATATTAAGGATTCCGTGATTTTCATGAGATTTTCATGGATTTGGGGTATTTCATAGTAAAGCTTTGCAAAAACTTGCCGATCAAATCACAGACGCAGAGCAGCAACACCCGAACTCTGTTATAATCATTCTAGAAGACTTTAAAAAAAAAAGCAAATCTCTTCCGTGAACTGCCCAAATACAGAAAGCATGTTACATGTCCCACCAGAGACAGTAATATATTGAGCCATTGTTAAACCACAATAAAGAATGCATATCACACTGTCCCACGGGCAGCTTCAGGACTCTCTGACCACTGTTTGGTTCATCTTATACCGACCTAAAGGCAGAAACGGAAATCAGATAAACCTGTTCTAAGGACTGTAAAGAGATGGACCAACGAAACAGAGAGGGATTTACAAGCCAGTTTCGACTGCACTGATTGTAGTGTTTTTGAAGCTGCTGCCATCATATATCAGTTCTCTTTCATCATCTCGTGTTCGAGATCCACCTATGGGAAGGACATCCGCACCTGACCTCTGCAGAAGCATCCAATTGCACCAAGTCTGGCTAAACAGACAGAAGCGCACAGTCAATGCCAGGTAACGCCCCACCCCCTTACCTTAGAGCATATATGGGCTGCACGTGTCACTAATCTCCAGCGACCTCTCTGCTGCGCTCTACTGTTTCGCTGACTTCACTACAGTCGACAGGAGGAAATATCTATTCCGATCAGCCTCCGCCAGGCGTGATTGTCAGAACGTTACAGTTTTGTTGTGATTTCTTTTTCTTGGTTGCAAGCCACTCACGATCGCTACCTAGATTTTCCGCAGGCTGCCCGCCTGTGTTTGCGCTTTCACCTCTCCGATGGATAAAACGAAACTATCCGCTCCTGCTAACCCGTTGGGCCTGCAGTCGAGTGCATGCCCAGCCGCCTGCGGTTCCCTAATCGCCGCGAAGGATACCCATCCTTTCTGCGCAGTGTACACGGGGTTAAAGCACATGGAAGAAGCGCTTTCACTACCGGAAAACTGCAGCCATTGCCTTTCTCTGCCTAGGAGGCTTCTTCGTTGCAGACTTAAGGTGGCTTCTACCCTAAGCACTGACGAACAGTATGACTCGGACGTTGGAGTGGGTGAAAGCGTGGCAGCTCCGGGGGCCTCCCAGAGCATGCCTGCTCTCAGTTGAGCTGATCAGTCCAACTAAATTATTTAATTCTTGCATGCAAAAAGACCTGTATGGTGACCAGTGTTGGGCAGTAACGCATTACTTAGTAACGCGTTACTGTAATTTGATTACTTTTTTAGTAACGGAGTAATTTAACGCGTTATAATTTTCAAAATAGTAATTAGAGTATAGTTACAAGCCAAGGTCTCTATACGTTACTGCCGCGTTACATTGCTGACAGAATGCAGTGTTTTATAATCTGGAGACTGTAAAAAGGATGTAGCACACGCGTTGTCATGTCAAGTGGATTAGAGACCTGGAGCCGGATTCACGAAACATTCTTAAGAAGAAATTTCTTCGTAACTGCACTTTTCTTATTTTTTAACTTTAGAAAAAAAGTTAAGAATATTTTGTATTCCCAAAAATTCTTCTTAATAAAATTCTTATCTTTTTTCTTAAGATTATTCTTAAAACAAAACTTAAGAATTCAAATTCTTGAAAAGAATCTTCTTAAAAAACATTGTAAATAACTAATTAATTTTACTTGTCTTAAATCCCAAACAGTAACAATTATTTAATGAATTTATTGGGTTATTTCAAAATAATTGTTATATTTAAGCATTACAACAACATTAGCTACATAATAGGCTACATTGTAGGACTATTAATAGGGATGTGCATGAGTTTTGTGAAGTGACAGCGATGACTGATAATGTAAACAATGATCGGTCATGATTAGCCTGTGTGTGACGCTACTTTTTGCTGACTTAAAAAAAAAAACTCAGTAGCAACTCTACAAAAACGAGTCAGATAGGGTGTTTTAATTTTTTATTTTAGCCTATAAAGACGACATAATCTTTGGCAGTATTCAGCACATATGAACACGCCGATACACAGGACGTGTTTGCTGTAGCAGCGCAGACACACATACCGGAAGCGTTCACTCGGATGAGAGCGCAAAACACAGCACAAAAATGAATGAAACAGATCGCTGCAGCTTGAGACAAGCTATTTTAAAAGCAATTGTTCAAAAACACGCCGCATTAAAAACATAAAGCTGAGCGCCAGTCAAAGTCACGACGAAAATAGTGTTTATTATGATTACTAGGGTAATCTGCAGGAAGCACAAAAAGACAAAGTGTGAGTTTATCAGTGCGTCATGTATTCACTCCGATAAAGACTGTCATTTTCTTCTTAAGAAAAAATTTAAGATGTTCTTAAGAATTTTTCAAGAATTGCACTTAAGAACATTCTTACGAACTTCGTGGAATTTATCTTAAGAAATTTCTCAACTTATTTCTTAAGAAGATTTTCGTGAACCCGGCCCCTGCTCTCCCGCGAGACCCGACGCAACAGAGTGCGGCGCGGGACAAGACTCGATAGGTGAGTGCAGACTTGTGTGTGTGCGCGGGATGCAGGAGAATAAAATGATTCACGGGACTCCCGCAAAATAGAAATATCTAAAACAAATAAACTATTATTCATCTATTGCACAAAAGCTACATGAACTAATATAAAATATAAACGATTAACAGGTGCAAGCGTATGCAGAGTTTCCATTTAGGCTATAACACGTGTTTGCAGCGTTGAGCAATGCAGCGCTGAAATGTGCGTGTTCATGAATCCTCTCATTAAAACAAAGGAATTGTAGACATTATGAAAATTTAATAACAAATAATTATCGGGAGCGTGTATGCTGGGATTTCATAAATTTCATGGAGAAAAAAGTAACGTAACTAGTAATGTACCTAATTACTTTTAAAATAAAGTAATCGGAACAGTAACGTGATTACTTTTAAAAGGAGTAATCAGTAATTTGATTACATTTTCAGAGTAACTTGCCAAACACTGATGGTGACTATGGGGCTATGTAAAATATTTTTTGCAACTTACTAGGTTTATAATTTGTCATTTTTTTCCCGATAATGTCAATAATCGTCTGTTACCTGACAGTTGACATCGCGATACTTACGAGACATCGTCGATATATACAATAATATCGTCATATCGCCCAGCCCTACATCCTCGATCACGTGGAGGATTTTGACCGTGACACAGTACATTGTGCATCAGGACACTTGTCACAATTGAAAAGCTTTGACTTCTGTTTTTTTCTTTTTGCTTTCATCTGCATTTTTGACTTTGCCGATGTGCTCTTCGGAATACTGCAAAATAAGAAATTAGACGTGCAGTTCAGTCTGGCCAGAATTGCAGATTTTTGCCAGATTTTTGAAGATGAGCGTGGAAAATTTGATGCCATCTATGAGAGGACAGCGGAGGCCGCGGGACAGCCGAGCGCAGCCAGAGGACGAACAGACGCGCTTGCACGCACTACAGACAGCTACACACAGTGCTAATCGACAGCATCATCACGCAAATCAGAAATCGATTTGAGGATCACAAGCGACTACTGTTTGTTGCATTGCTGGATGCACAGCTGTTTGCAAAGTTCAAGCAGACATTTCCCGAAGCAACCGGACAAACACGACTCTCTGCACTGGCCTCAATGGTGTTGAGATCATTACTGAAGGCCCTGACTGAAACCCCACGGTACACTACTGGGTTTAAAGTTAGTTTTGAGTAAGAGTGTGGTATAGGGATGCATATTAGATTTTTGCCAATATGCCGATATTTTGGCCGATAGCCGATGCAGATACCAGTATATATTTCCCTTTGTTTTGAAACAACACCAAGTCTCTACTGTGCAGAAATAAGCAAATTATTTTTAATTTTGGTTAGTTTTGAGCAAAAACTTACTTGTTAGAAGTAATCAACTTTATTAAAGATCTTTTTTTAAGGAGAGTACATTGAAAGCCTTAAAATCTAATAAAATCAGTCTCTGCTGTGTCGGATGCAGTTGAAACCATAACATTTTATTTGTGGATTTAACATTAATATGTCTAAAGCAGCGTTTCCCAATCCCAGTCCTCCGTATCTACCACGGATTAAAATGTCTATCGTTAGAGATTGTTATATTGTTTATTTCGTGGAATGCAAATGTATCTCTTTATAATACAATACAATGCACTATAGCTTTAAAAGTTATATACACCTAAGTGAAAGAAACATGAATGAATGAGAAAAAGAGTGCGACATGCTTAGGGCTGGGTATCGAGTTCTTTAAGGACAGATCAAATTGCTTTGATACCAAGTATCGAAAAATGTTTTGTCATTTGGTACCAAATTTTGATACCTGAGTGGGTAATCTCATCTATGTCAGTGAGCCAATAAGCATGCAGCATGCTTGATGTTCCTAAATCAAGTGCTGGTGATTGGCTCTGATGAGGCATAAAGGAAAAACTCTAGGTTATGCCCAGAAACGTGGCTCACACATGAGGCTGTATGATATTTGTAGCCTTTTATATCAAGTTAATTGTTACACTTGCTTAGCATTTCTCATGTAAACACACTGTATTGTAGGGCTGGACAATATGGCCAAAATTTATATCATGATATATTTATTAATTTCGGCCGATACGATATAATTCCGATATCGATATGAACAATATTTTAAAAAGCCTCAGAAATACTTCCAAGAATTCCCACAACAGATGTCTGTACCTACAAACTTCTGAAAAATGAATTTGCCATGTCTAAGAAACCTCCTTCTATAAAACTATTTGTGTCCCTGGAGCACAAAAGCAGTCTTAAGTCGCTGGGGTATATTTGTAGCAATAGCCAACAATACATTGTATGGGTCAAAATTATAGATTTTTCTTTTATGCCAAAAATCATTAGGATATTACATTAAGTAAAGATCATGTTCCATGAAAATATTTTGTACATTTCCTACTGTAAATATATTAAGACTTAATTTTTGATTAGTAATATGCATTGCTAAGAACTTCATTTGGACAACTTTAAAGATGATTTTCTCAATATTTAGATTTTTTTTTTTGCACCCTCGCATTCCATATTTGCAAATAGTATCTCGGCCAAATATGGTCCTCTCCTAACAAATCATACATCAATGGAAAGCTTATTTATTTAACTTTCAGGTGATGTATACATCCCAATTAAAAAATAATAATAATTTAATGTTCACCTTTTGTTTGTATTTAGCCTTCATATAAACAAGAAATGTGAAATCAACCGTCAAATAAATATAAGGCTCAGGCTCACCTTAATAACATTAACTTTAAACTATAACATAGGCTGATTATTCTTATAGACTGAATAATAAAATAAAGAATATGAAAAGTGCTCAGAGTTGCTGCAGAAAACAGAAAAAAAGCGTGAGCAACAACAAAAAGATGTTGCTGGAGACTTTAGGCTTAATCTCCGCCAGCAGGAGGTGCTTTAGGGCAGCAGAAACAGTGGTTTCCCTGGTAACAGCAGTACACAAAGCAGCGCTACGCTCATGAACACTACTTTAAAACATAAAAAAGAAAATGCCATCGAAACTTTTCTGATGACAGTCGCTTCCCTTCAAAGATACATTCATATGAAACACCCACGCTGCGTTTTGATTTTGAAACATGCAGTGCTCATATTTATTCAACAAGTCAACCACTACAAATAAATCAATGTATGGGAAACACTGGTAATGTATATCGAAATATTGGAAATGTGTTTAAAAATATCACCGTTATTGAAAAAATATATATTGCGATATATATATATTGATATTGAATTATTGGTCAGCCCTACTGTATTATGAAAATAGGCAGAATCTTATGAAAATCACATACAAATAATTTACTATTGTATTTGTGTTTATTGGCTTCATGTTTCATCTGTAGAAATGCTTTCCTTGGTTTCTAATGTACAGAACTGAACGTGGAAGTGTAATGGACATTTGTCATCGGAGACAGGGCGGGTTATAAACACATAATATGAGTGACATATGAGCAGCATGATGGTTTCTCATGCAATGCCATCTGAGGGCTCAAAGGTCAGGCACATTCCAGATGGCATTTCGTGATAAACCATCATGCTGCTGTGTGAAATATAGCCACATGGGCTCGGGAGTACTATGGAAAACTGTTGTCACTTGTCCTGCCTTGCCCTACATGTGCTGAGATATCTCTGGATTAGTGGTCGACCGATATTGGTTTTTTGACAGCCGATGCTGATATCTTGGAAAGCAAGGGGGCCGATATAAAGCCGATATAATTTTATTTATTTTAATTTATATTTAAGAAATTTTAAATCATTTGAAAATGGATTAGAAATAATTGTGTAAAATAAACATACTTGTACTTTAGAAGACAAAGCATTTTTCACAAATAAATAAATAATAAATATCTAATTAAAAAGGATGTAAACACTGTAACCAACAGGGCACTCGGTATTCTGGGAAGTTTGTGTGAATTGGGAATCCTTTTTTTTTTTTTTTTCTTCAAATAAAGCCAAGGTAACACTCATTTTACATACAGCATGCAATGAAAATTACATGAATATGACAGTGGGCAAATGCATAAAGCGCAGCATAGTTTGAAATCACGAGTTTAAAGTTTGTCGATCGCGCGTCTCAATGAAGCTGAACTCTCCTCTTGTCCGCATTCAACTCACACGGACCGACCGTCACGCAGAGTACACACGATCATGCAGGATACATGCACACTTCACAAGATCTCAACTAGATTCGACTAAGTCTGCAAGGTTTGTGAAATTAAATGTTCATTAGTCATTCAAAGATTTGTTTAAATTATATAAATGCGTATTTGCGGAATGCTGATGGCAAACGAGACAGTATTAAAATGTTTGCCTTTGTTACTAATAATATTAAAGCAATCGTTATAATACTTTTTTGTATACAATTTATTTGTTTAACAGTTCTATCTGATTATTAGATAGACTTCTATCCGTGTTTAGACAGAATTGAACGACGACAGCGAACAAGAGGGAGAATGTGAGCACTGTGTGCTCAGGCGCGGCCGTTCTCAGCGCCGTCAAAATAAAAGTCAGTCTCGAACACATCGGCCAAACAGAAAAACTTAACGGCCGATGATCTTTTCACAATATTATGTATGGTAGTTGGTGAAAGACCTCAATTTTGCATTGCGAAATGTGATATTTGATTTGTCTGACAATTCTCTCGTGAAATCTGACACAAAGTGGTGAGCCACAATCCAGATTTGCTGGCAAAGACAGGCTGCTCCGTTACTGATAAGATGCGCGTTAAATATCGCATGCGATTAATCGTGCAGCCCTAGTATAAACCCAAACATGATCCCCTCACCTATTACCAATTCACCTGCTTATTGTGAACTGCTTCAAAGCAGTTTATCTTGGATATGCTGTAGCCTTTTCACTTTTATTATGCCTATGTCCCAACTTTTGTGGAGTGTGTTGCAGCCATCAAAATGAAAAATTGTTTATATTTACAAAATACATCTAAGTTGGTCAGTGAAAACAATGGAAATCTTTTGATTATACCTTTGTGAATGAAATGAAGGTTAAAGACAGATTCACAGATCTGTCAAGAATCACAGATTCTTGATTTTATTGAATTTTACAAAACGTCCCAACTTATGGAATTGGGGTTGTAATTGTAGCCTAAAAGATGTGGAAACTGAAAACTATTTGAACTTTATTGAGACTGTTTGCACTGATTTGTTGTGTTAGTTACATTTTGTTCCTTTGTGCTTTTTGGGGGGGGGTTTCTCTATATAGTGATACATTTTAAGGCCTCTGCCTGTTCTTACAACTACCTTTATTTGATGGCAAGCCAAAGTAGCAGCTGATGCATTACACATGAATGCAGATGTGTTATTATACGGTGACACAGCTACATCACAGAAGTAATAGCTGGACTACACACGAGTCGTTTCAGGAGGTGTTTTCTGTTTGAGAGTGACGGGTCATTCATGAACAATTCGTTCATTGTGTCTGTCATGTGACAAATGACAAAAGATTTGGTTCCTCATAACTTATCTTTGGTTGAATTCAAATGATTTTCTACTTCAGAATATGCTTGCATAGGTGCTCGGGGAATTTAGCTGTTAAAACATAATGTTTAACTTGGAATCAGGATTTTCTAAAGGCTTAAATTCTGAACAAACTTGCCGACTTTGTAAATAGAGAAGAAAAGCTGGGCATCACACACTACTAGACTTAGAGTCAATCCAATCATAACAAACTCAAGCCAACATTAGAATAAGAATCAAACGCATTGAGAATGAAAACCAACCTGTTAGTTCCTCGAAATCTTCTGGTTTGAGACTGAACACTTCTTCAATCCTGAAGTCTTCAGTCTCCTCTTTAATAACCGCCATGTTTCTGTGTGTTTGGACACTCTGTCATGATTAAGAAGAGAATAATTAACCGATAGAAAGATAAATTGAAACTAAATCTCTAAATCTCATTAGACAAGTAATCAGGGCAAGACAAACACAAGCATTACAAAACCAAAGAACACAAATTATATATAATTACATATGATTTATAATTGTTATTGTATGACCGTATATTCCGCGTTTTTATCCAAACATGTGAGGGTTTGTTTTCACTAATAACACGTTAGTGTTGTTCACTGTTTCGACCAGCGCTGCGAAATGGATCGAGTTTAGTTTTAAAGAGCTCAGTTCTCCATCACTAAGCTACTAGCTAGGGAGCGAATTCGTGTTTATAATAAAGTGATTCAGGACACGGAGAGTTAAATAAGACGCAACTTTCCTGTTACTTGTGCGCAGATGCGCTTAACTTACACAAAGTAATTAATGTTAGGTGAAGTATTACGACGTTACATTAAACAGTAGTTTTCTATAAAATAAACTGGTTGTAATTATTTAAACACTTCAGATGATTAAAAACACAAACCTCTCTTCAGCCGAATCACAGACGCAGCCTTATAACGTCATGGCGTCAAACCAAAATAAAAGTCTTGTCCACACGATTATAGAAATTCACATATAGAAACACATCTTAATACCCTTTCCCCCCAAAAGCTTAGTTTCTGCTTACCATACAGTTACCAACACTGCAGAAATATGGCATTACGGTATTTATTATTAATGTCACTGTTCTTATAAGCTATTTATGTTAAATACTGGGGTAATATAAAGGAAGTCACTTTTACAGAGATTGTTTTAGCTTCACATGTTTAAGATATTTTTCATTACAAACACTATAATTTATTATTATTATTATTAGTCTTGTTGTTGTGGAAACCATATAGCCATGGTAATGAGGAGAATATGTTTTGTCTGATTCATGATCTTACTAACACTACAGTTAACTCTGGATTCAAGAATTACTATAGCTTTTCAAAGAGAATTAAATAGTTCTAATAAACTGTCATTCAAGTAAACTAGTGATTTAATAATTCAGAGCCTGCAGTATAATTAATATTAATGTTAAGTGCATTTAAAGATCATATTGCTAAAACACAACAATAATACAGGTTCACACTAAACAACATCAGGAAGATCAGACCCTTCCTAACAGAGCATAGATCACAGTTCTCACACGATCCTGAAAACAAAACATTAGCCTAGACAACCAAACAAAATAATATGTAGGCTGCATTACTTGAGTTTCTGACAAAATGGTTTATTTAATGTTATAAATTAGTCTTTTTATAAATGTCTAAAATGTTATAAATGAATCCATTTAAAAAAAAAATCTATTAATTTAAATGATGAATTCGTTATGTAAAAAAATCATTTCAAATGAATGAAGGCTTGTTTCGTCCAGAGTTTTTAAATGAATATCTTTAATGAATGATACATCAAAGACATTTTACTGTAACAGTCACTGGTCGCCACCTACTGGCATAATGTAACATATACAATCTATATTTGAAGCGTAACATTAGTTCCAAACGTCATTCACTCTTGATCGCGGCTGCCGCAACATCAGTCTACTGTATATGATTAATATCATAGTCAGACAGGGAGGGTCAAACACCAGCAAAACAGTAATATCAAAGGCAAATCCAAAAGAGTAATCCAATAAACAGGCAATGGTCAGGGCAGGCAGCAAACAATCAAAAACAAGGAAACAGTCCAAGATCAAAAACACAAAGGCAAGGAAACTAGGAAACTCGGAAAACAAGGAAACTAGGGAACATGACAGGCTATCAATCATCAGCGGTGTAAGAGTGTGTGTGTGTGTGTGTGTGTGTGTGTGTCATTCTTATAGTGTGTACTGATGTATGCATGTATGTATGCAAACAAACAAATTCCTTGTGTGTTTGTGCACACTTGGCGAATAAAGCTAATTCTGATTCTAAATAAATGTACCTTTTTTAAAATGCATAGTGTGGTTACAGACACATTCATAAAGGTGTATCCCTACAGTATACTAATGTGTCTTAATTTTAATAATTCGATTGAAGTGTCTATTACATTATATTATACAAACTGTAAGTTGACTTGAGAAAGCCTGCATAGCCTGACAGTTTTAAAGTCATTTAAGTTTCAAAGTAGTTTTAAAGCTTGCCTTGGAGGTTTGACGTTTGAAGGCAAGATAATACAAAAACATCAAACACACAATCCATTCAAACCAACACTCTCAAAACGGATATCGCTGTATCTATTAAGCCTGAAACATTGCAACTTTGTGCACTGACTGAATGTCGCCAGTCTGCGTGTGACCAATCGCCAGCACCTAGAGACTGTCCTCCTCACGCGTGATTGACACAGTGCACTCTGTTAGTATTACCTGATGTAAACTATGGCAACAGTTTGGATGACAGTTACTGTATTGAAATGCAGAAGGCTGCACTTCTGTATGGCATATATCCATTTCAAAAGTACAAATTTACACATTACTGTATGTGGGATATTGATTGAAAAAGACTGGATAGTATTCACAGTTACACTTTTACTAGTGGTCTGACAAAAAAAATAAAAACCCTTACAATGTCATTGTGATATAGAAAAGAAAAAGGAATATGGGCACAAAGGCGAAAATATAAAATTAGAAAGGCAAACACAGAAAACAGCCCTTAGGCAGAGCTTTGCTTTTGCATGCAGCACTGTATGAGGAGTCAACCAGCCCACAACTCCGCATCTTCAGCCAATGCCCAACCATTGGCTTCCCAGACATCACTTCAACGACTACTGAACTTCCAGCCAATCAACATGGAGAGACAAATGACATACCCAAAATAAAAAGGTTGCTGTTCATGTAAATCCATGATAGTAATCACAGAGCTAAAGACTTTCTTCGGATTGACTTCCCCCCACCTAGAGGACAAGAACCAGGCTGAAATTCCTTATGAGACCTTTTAACCTTTTTGTGCCTCACAAAGCACACCCGCACGTTCACAGAACAACAGAGAGACTGTCTCTTACATACGTAGATGCATCTGAAATCATCTTAAAAAGGACTTATAAACAAATATCAGTCCAATGCATAACTCTATATCATATATGTAACCTACACATTTGACTATCATGTCCTAATCACTTGTTGTGTATGTATTTTGAATAACTATTGGACTGCTATGATAATAGAGATATATTAGCTCAAACATAAAAACAAAAATAAAAATAAATATTTTTTGAAATGTATAAAAAAAATATGTTGCTGTGGTAAATGCTTTCAGAAACACAATGAAGCTAAAGCCACAAGTCCACTAATGCTTCACTTCAAATTTCAGGACATAATCTCTAAAACTGTGGGGGGGGGGGGTTGTGCTCTGGAGCAGGGTTCCAGGACGGAAGGCCTCCAGGGGGGCACCCGTTCCAGGACCCATGGTGGATCAGGCAGCTTGAGGAGCCATGGCAGATCAGAGAGTTCAGGAGGCTATGGCGGAGCAGGCAGTCTCTGGAGACATGGCGGAGTAGGCAGGCTAGGAAGCCATGGCGGAGCAGGGAACTCAGGAGGCCATGGCGGATCAGGCA